GAGTAGCATATGAAGTGAAGGTTTCTCTGCCTCCCATCTTTCATCTCTACACCCAGGTTCGTTTAGAATGGCCCACAGATCTAGCCATCAATCCCATGGATAACTCCATCTATGTCTTGGACAACAACGTTGTGCTGCAGATCACTGAAAATAGACAGGTACTGTTTATAACCACACTGATACAAATTTGGTTGTTTGCAATAACATAAGTAAACCATATTAATTCTTAACTCATATCCCTGTATGTATGTGTTCAGGTTCATATCGTGGCAGGCCGTCCCATGCACTGCCAGGTGCCCGGTATAGAATACACTATGGGGAAGAGAGCCGTCCAGACCATGCTAGAGGGAGCTACAGCCATAACCTTGTCTTACAGCGGTGTCCTCTACATTGCAGAGACTGATGAGAAGAAAATTCACCGCATTCGACAGGTAATCTCAAGGGAAACTATTGACACATTCTTGTTACTCAATTTCCTGACTTTTAGAAAAATGGCCTGTTCGATAGGTACATTTGAATTATTTTGGCTCTAGAATGACTGAAATATCCATTGTGGTCGACAAAAATAAAAATTGTATCACTCTGTCTTGCAAATACCCTTCTTCTATCTTCAACAGACAATATTTTATTTCAGGAAACAAAAACAAGAAAAACAAATTGTATTATTTTTTGATTAGATAACAAGTGAATGCATTTATGCAATGTGTTTCTTTTTTTGATGACCACTGAAAGGGCTTTACAGTACAGTTTAGCCATTCACCCATTCACCCACACATTCATACAGTGCATCTATGTGCAGCACTTTCTCTCTCACACATCACACACAGTCTTCAGGGGCAATTTGGGGTTCAGTAACTCATCCAAGGACACTTCATTGGACAGATTGGAGGAGAATGGGATTGAAACACATTACGTTTAGTGGAAGACTACATTAATACATACTGTACAGTATTTGCGAACCGCTACAAGCAGGAGTTCATTGTCAGTGTCTGACAGTTCGGCTTAACAATTACCACAGTGGTCATTAACAGATGGGTTGCCATTTATCATTTTATCCACAAGACTATGGATTCAATAGCAACTGCTTAAAAGAGCAGAATAAAGAACAGTGGCAAATGGCATTATAATGCTCAATGAATTCAACTATTTAGCTATTGTGGATGTGATGAAATGTAATGAAAACGATTTTCCAAGTCGGTACTTAAGAAATTGGTACCTCATCCTGATTACCAAGACGACTGAAATGTACTCTAAATGATACAATCACATTGCTCCTTTTAGCCGTGGTAATGTTAGCCACATAGATCTTGACTGTGACCTTGTGTTTTATATATTCTTTAATATTTATTAATATATTTATTTCATATGTTTTTTCAATATATTTCCCTTGCACTGACATCAGGCCAAAACTTTGTTCTCATACTTTGACCTTTGGTCGATTTGGAAAATAAAAATCAATTGCATGCCAGTTATGACTCTACCCCCAACCAGCTTGCCAAGTTTAGTCAGAATTGGAGGTAAACTGCCAAATATATCAACCTACTGCTTAGCAAGGAAGTAGTAATTACACTCCTGAACAGGAGGAACGTCTACCAAGGGGATTGTTCTGTAACATTTGTAGCTTCAAATATGAAAATGATTTAAACCAAATTTTTGTCAGTCCTGACCCAGGGTCTGACTGTCGTGAGAAATGTATGCCAGATGAATGTCTGATGAACGATGTCAAAGGTTATTTTTTACTACCTCTGTCAAGAATGTTGGTTTTATGTATTTTTTGTAGGATTACATGAAAAATATTAAATTCAATTTATTGCAACAAATTATAATATATGTTATTTCAAGGCACTTTACATAGAAGGAGTTGAGCAGAGAAAAATTGTGAAATTTGCAACAAAGGGCATTTGCTAATTTCTTCTGGGAATAGTGCACCGATGTCAATTTAAAAAATTAGGCATATTTAATGGGGTGATATACAGTGTAGAGTGTACAACTTGGATTTGATCCAAATAAAACTCTGGATCTAGCAGATTCCAATATTTTTATCACGGGGTGGATCACTTTGCTGAAATGTATTTGTTCCACACCTGTTGTTTATTTTTGTAGCTGTAGTAATGAAGTTGACATTTATTGTTTCTGCTTCATTAACACTGTGTTAATTGTATTTCTCTTGAGCAGACAGACAAATGTAAAGCTTGGGTTGGTAATCCTGGAAAAGATAGTTTAGAAGGCTACACTTGGAAAAATGTTACTCAATTCGTCCCACCCCCACCCATCAGTCCTCTGGTCAAAGCTACACCCACAAAACACATGAGCGTGCACATCCTGACAACTGCTCGAAGACGATTTTTCAGGCAGGCAGGTTTCTTAGAAACAGACTGGTACACCAGCAAAGGATTTTATTCCATGCGAATAAAATGATTGTGGTGGTCTTTTCTTCTTTTTTTTTCCAGAGGACTTTATTTGTTGATCGGGATGTGAAGAGAATTTCAACAAATAAGACAAAATGTGTGTCAGAAACAACTTAGCAACCTTTAAGAGTAAAACATATGTTGAATTCATTTTCATTTACACTGTTGAGAACAAATAAATCATTCAGGTTATCAAAGCACATCCCTTTTTCTTTTAGATTTCTATTTTAAGAACTGAACAATCATGTATAGGATTTTTCAGCTTTGGCAGAGGTATGCATTCTACTGTGATTGACATTCTAGTTTGACTTAGTTTAAAAATGTCTATTTTTGGCTATCACCTCCACTAGGTGTCGACTGATGGAGAAATTACCCATCTCGCTGGAGCGCCATCTGACTGTGACTGCAAGGTACTATGCCACAACTACAAACACACTGAAGTTAAAATTAATGTGTGGCAGTCAAAACATTATATGCATTAGATTACACATAGAATATATCTGTGTATATGTATAGAAATATTATGTTTGTTCATAGAATAGAATAGAAAGCCTTTATCATCATCTTACAGTGAGACAAGATTTATTTTGCCACTCCATAATGTGGATAGAAACATATTTAAATGAATAAAAAGACACAAGATAAACACACATTGCCCCATACACGCAGTCATAAATAAGAATATGTATGTTATCTAATCCCAATACAATACAGTGGTACAATGACCTAATTAAAAACATGCCAAGTTTGTGTCTCACTTCTTTTTTGTCACTCCTCTCCTCCCTCTGTCCTGCAGAATGATGCAAACTGTGACTGCTACCAGACTGGAGATGGCTATGCTAAAGACGCCAGGTTTAATTGCCCTTCCTCTTTGGTGGTGTCTCCAGATGGGACACTGTATGTCGCTGATCTGGGAAACATCCGCATTCGAGCCATTCGGCGAAACCAGCCGCCCACTGGTATGTACAGAATACACTACTACTTTTGATCGTAGCAAAATCAAAACGTTGAGTGTTTTTCTAAGTTAAAAGTAGCTCTAACCCACACCTCTGAATTTGTTTCATTTAATGGACCTCAGGTTTGTTATCTTCTGACTCCGGCCAGAGACGGCCAGAGCCGTGACAGTAAATTGTCACTGTATGAATTAGTGGAAGATACAGTAGAGGAAGCATCAATTCCCAGCGTGGAGACGATGAGAAACTGAACACTGAAAATCTCAGCAGCCCTTTGTAGAGTTATGTGATCACCATAGGTCCCACATCGTGACATACTATTCAAGTATGAGTCCCAGTCAATCCCATCAAGGTGGTTAAGACAAAGGTGTTCCATTTCCATCTGGTACTGGCTCATAGTACTCCAGTCTGTCTTCATGTGTGTACTGGATCAAAAGCAGATGTAATTGTTCCACCGACTTTGAAGTTTTAGTACACATTATTTATTTTGTCATGTTGTACTTATCACATCAGACACAAAGAACCATTTTTCCTGCATGTTTGCACCAGGAATCTGAAACTGAACTTTTTATGTTTGGAAGCTTGACATTTCATTCTACCAGGTAATACCTGCTATCTTTTTGAAACTCGATGGGCACCATCTTTCACCCTGACCAAAGCAGCATCATTAACATGATACACAGATTGGTGCTCAGTGGCTTTCTGTGCCCTTTTTCTCATTCTGTTTCATTTGTCTTCAAAATTAAGCTACTGTTTTAAGGAGGGTGAATTCCTTCATGGGTTGTTCACAGATTCAGTGTGGACATCAGATGCAGAACCTGCCAAGGGACATATTATCCTATTATTTTTTCTCCCATAGTCTACTTCAAATGGAGACATCCAGTTTAAAACTTCCTTGGGGTCCTCATTTATCACCCGGGAATAGGCTGGTAAACGTGTAACCCAGTTAACCCCTCTCTGCTGGCAAGATCATTCATGATCTTTTCCTTCTCACTCTGTGGGTCCTTTCTACCTTTCCTTGGCTTTGGGGGTTGGTACGGTGAACTCTCAATTATTCTGACTTGCATTGATTCCATCAGCCTTCACACTGCTCCTTTAAATTCTCTCCCTTGATTGTGCTGCAGAACTTGAGGTTGGCCATGTTCAAAATAGATATGATAAAGATGTTTTGCTATCTCTGAGCTGTCTTTGCCTTTCAATGGTTTCAGCCATGTGTATTGACTAAAGACATCAACTACAGTATACTGTATATATCTTCCATTTTCCCATATCAAGGATGTCTATCCGACCGGCAGGTCCTGTACCTCTTTGGCCTTAATGTGCCTCGGTATTGGTTTACTGCAAAATCTAGCCTTACTTAACCTGATCCCATCACCTCTAGTCTTCAAGGTGACTGGTTTCCCAGCACACAACAATGTCTGTCCATCCTGGCTTTGAGAATACGGATCTCTATTATGCCACAGCCTCACTAGAGCATTTTGTTTTGTTGTTGTACGTTCACCAACAGGAACATCGAACTCTCCCTTTAGTCTCTTTACTATGACATTGTAGACATCGTCAGACATTGACTGTTGTTGTCCAACTCCCATACATAAGACCCAATGGGTACAGGTCACAATAATGGTTACTTGCAGACCTATAGAAAAAAGTAATACATTTAAGTTAATAGTTTTCTCTAATATGGTCAAACTTGCAAAACAAAGGTCAATAAACAAGTAAATAAACTTGGACATTTGCTCTGAATGATTCAAGTGAGTACATTCATATGGTTTGAAGGAGAATGAAGGTAAACATTTCCTGTCAGAAGTTGAGCTTGTGTTGTAATTGATGAGCAAATGGTTGTTAATATAAAGGTTTGAGTTTTTATATTTTTTATCTTTAAACTTTTCGTATTAGTTTCGTGATTGCTGAGCGTGCAACTGGTGGCTTTTCTGTTGCTGGTGTGTGTGTGTGTGCGTGTGTAAGGTCTGGTGTGATGTCTATGGTCTGACGCTCCTTGCGAAAAAAGTAAAAGTCACAACGACAAGCTGTGGGCCTATGCAAATTCCCCGATCCTGATGAACATGAATGTTTTGAGGGCTGAACAGTGCATCTTGTGGAGATGCATGAGATGCGTGTGGGAGGAGTTACATGTTTAATCCTTACGTTTGAAAGCAAAATCCTGCTTTGAAGACTCATAACATTTTATTCACATACCTTACAACATGATGCCTTCCACCTAGTGACTTCTGCAAACTGCAACCAAAAGGTGTTCTATACAGACAGATGATGTTCCATCCGTAGCAGTTTGCATTAGTTCAGAGGACTCACTGACCTCCCTAGTGTATTTATAGTATTTATATAATATAATATACATATATATAGTAGGCTAGTTACTCGATGTAGTTACCTATCATAGCCTTCATACCAATACATTAGCATGCACCATGTAAGAAAAGATAAGACGAGCAAATAAAATATTTGATGTTGAAATATATTTATTCCCTTTTTTCAAATGTCCAAGCCAGTAGAGAAGAAGACATCCATTTTGGTTGGTTATAACATGAAAAAAAAGTGCAACCCATGCATTTTGTAATAGCTACTGCATTATGTAATAACTTATTACAAAATGTGGAGAAATTAATTACAGATTGTGTTCATGCTGTTTATTACATAATGCGGGTTTTATTATATAATGAAGTGAAAATGTATTACATTTTTAAGTTTTATTACATAATGTAGTGTAACATACCCTATGGGAAGGAGTATCTAGTCTGGGTGAGTGGAAGTCACACATAAAGATTATTATTTTCTTAAGACTGGAGACTGTCTACATATTTTATACCAATGCCAGTGACTGGATCCACAAAACATACAATCCTAATCTGCTGCTTCTCTTTAAACATTTGACATTCTTTTCAGCCCCTACACCTTGTGCCAGGCTGACATTGTACATAAGAATTTGTTCTTAATGGTTTGCATGGTTAAATAAAGGTTAAAAAAGATGCAGGCTATGCTGTATGTACACTTGATTAAATGGACTGTGCATTTGCAGTAAGTTGTTTGGGTTGAATAGTGACCATGTAACATATACTGTTTCCAAATTCATTAACCCCAATTGGTTCTGTGATGATACTGTGACTGAGTGACTCCATTTGTCCTTGTGTCATCAGGCTCTCTGGCTTCAGGTCCCAGCTTTTATGAAGTGGCTTCTCCAGCCTCTCAAGAGCTATATGTGTTCGATGTGAATGGGACTCATCAATTCACCATGTCTCTGGTCACTGGAGACTACAAATACAACTTTAGCTACAGGTTAGTGAGTGTGTGTGCGTGTGTGTGTGTAATTTAATACATTTTTGCAATGTAAAAAAGAAAGTGATTAATGACTACATTTGCAACACATCCCTTGCAAAACCTCTCCTTATTCATCACATCTTAAATTTTTTTATTTCTGCAGTCTCTTTGTTTTTCTCCTTTCCAAATATAATCCAATTTTCACTTCATGTCATTTTCCTCCCTTCATTCCTTGACTCTCAGCAACGACGAGGATGTGACTGCAGTGACAGACAGCAGTGGGAACACCCTCCGCATCCGTAGAGATACCAACAGGATGCCTGTACGTGTGGTTGCCCCTGACAATCAGGTGAGTTAAGCAACTCTTGACCGAATGTATCTTCATATATTAATTTCAGCCAAAGACAAATTTGTTTTTCTTAAATCAAAAAAACATTCTGATGTATGTCAGATAAATATAAATCTTTAACAAAAACACAAAAGCTTTCAGTTATGTTCAAGTTTATCTGTATATCTCTAGTATGTCTGTCTGTATTTTTTAGTCTTGCACTACTAATGTCACACATTATGTTCTTATTTCTTGTTAGACTAGGAGAAAGGATCATGTTTTGTGAAATAATGATATATGGCTGAGGTGAATACTGGGAAAATCTGAACATGTAACCCTGCTTGTGTGTGTCTGTGTATATCTATGTGTGTGTGTGTGTGTCTCTGTGTGTGTGTGTATTATCAGGTTATCTGGCTAACCATCGGAACTAACGGAGGTCTAAAGACTCTTACGGCTCAGGGTCAGGAACTGGTCTTGTTTAGTTACCATGGCAGCAGTGGCTTGCTGGCTACCAAGAGCATCCAGATAGGCTGGACTACCTTCTATGAGTGAGCAGAATTATTACTGTTTGATTGCATTTCTGAATGAATGGGATTTGATGGATGGATGGATTTTATGTAAAGTGCCTTGAGATAATGTTTATTATGATTTGGGGCTATACCAATAAAATGTAAATGAAATGAATGGACCTTTGGATTTTAAAGTTGTGCAATATATTCAAATGATTGAATGTTGACTGTTTTACAGCAGTGAAAAAGACATTTCAGCATTTTTGACAAAATGCATATTGTGATTGCTCTCCCTCAAACCAGCACAACTATATAGATTTAGGCATCAATGAAGTATGTTAAAGTAATGGTAAATAACGTTCATTTATTCCTTTCTCCCTGCATTCTCACTGTCCTTGAAGCTATGACAGCGAGGGTCGTCTGACTAATGTTACCTTCCCTACCGGTGTGGTGACCAATCTGCACGGCGACATGTCGTCAGGAGCTGTTGCTGTGGACATTGAGACGTCTGGGAGAGATGAGGATGTTTCTATAACAACCAATCTATCATCAATTGACTCCTTCTACACTCTAGTGCAGGGTAAGGTGCTTACACAAACATGCACGTGTATGTGACAGAGAATCAAAGATAGAAGTATGTTGTTCCAGCACAAATGATTAATTCTTTATTCCTCTGTTATACAAATAGTTTTCCAGAATATTTTTCTCTGGCTACGGTGAATGCACCATGAAATCACTGTCTCCATATGTACTAATCTGCACTTAACAGTATTGATAGAATATGACATTTCTTACTGAATTTCATCCACCTTACATAATGAGAAGCCATCATTTTTTATATTTCCTCCTGTTTAGCCCTGTCAAGCAATTACACACAGACTGTGTGTGAAAGAAAATGTACATTCGTGTATTTTTACAGGTTTGATATCCAAAACAGCCTGCAGCTCATTCAACTGCAGCTGGGAAAATTCATTAAGGCTGCAAGCAGCACTGAAAGGAGGTACACAGGCAGGACACTGGCCTTGTGCTGTGCTGTCGGCTGACCACGAAAATGTCATATGTACATATAATGATGATTATTACACGAGACATATTTCACATTGCCAATTGGTGGTGATATGACTATGACCAAACATTTGCTTGGTTATTTTTGGTTGAGACAGGCTAGAAAATTTGGCGCACATTCGACAATGTTTTTGAGTAACAACAGCCTCCCTGTGGTTGAAACACCGAGGTTTGCCAACTGCCAGAGCAACAATTACTGATGACAACTGACAATTTTCACAAAAAAACAAGCAATTTCCTGTTGTCAGTGGGTGAGGAACGACTATGATGGAAAATTGGGATGTAGATGTCTGGTGTCAGTCAGTTACAGCAACTTCCTTTGTCAATGCAAAACAATTACCCTTGTGTCCAGAAATACACCATCTGATGAAAAGTCACAATTTTCAAAATATGTCATCATTAAGGTATTGAAGCTGTTTTCACCAAGTGTGTGGTGGAGGTGAGGGGGTAGAGCAGTCGTCCTCTTATCAGAAGGTCGGCAGTTCGATCCCAGTCTTCCCAGTCTCCTATTCCTCAGGGAAAGATACTGAACCCCAAATTGCTGCCCATAGATGCCCTGTATGAATGTGTGTGTGAATGGCAAAAAAAAAACTGTATTGTAAAGATACAGCTATATAAATGAATGGGGCAGATTAGACAATGTGTATGTGAGTTACAACAACTTCCTTTTCTCAGTGAAACATCACAATTGTCCATGTCACAGTGAAGATGCCATATGATGAAAATTGTAACTTTTCATCATCTCCATCAATCTGGATTTCCTTTAAAATCAGAGGTGGATGTGGTCAACTCAATAGAAGAACAAAATTAAACTAACTGCAGTTGTCCGTTCCGCCAACCAGTGCAGTTTCCATGTATGTATTTCTACATACTTTTTAATATGATATAAGGTCACTGTGACCTTTGACCACTGACACATAATCACTTAAAAGCACTTCGAGTGATCATCAAGACTAGAAAAGTGCATATAAATACAAACTGTTTACTATTTAATCTTTGAGTGACAACTAATCAAAAGAAATTTCCTCAAGCTGATCTTAAGATATCACGTTCAAGAAAAACATAGATATATACTGTGAGGACATTGTGATCTTGCCCTTCGACCTTTGACTACCAAAATCAAGTGAGTTAATCCTTGATTCCAAGTGAATGTTTGTGCCAAATGAGAAAGAATTCCTTCACGGCATTCTTGAGATATCACGTTCACAGAAATGGGAGGTACGGACGGACAACCAGAAAACATTATACCTCCGGTGACTGTCTGTTGCCGGTGCAGAGGCAAAAATTTAATTAGGGGGTGCTATCAAGGTGGTGTACCTTACTCATAGCCAAACACTTAGTAGATGGTGCAATTTCTCTCAGCTGAATTTTTCATCAAATGCATTTTGGTCTAATATTTCTTTACATACAATACAAGTGTGTGAGAGAGAGAGAGCTGTCCCTCTATGTTTGTTTGCTTGTTTCTAGGACCCCCCTCAAATATGCAACATCTTAAGGGGCTATCCTTTCAACAAATCGAAATTGTAATTCATCCAACACCATTTTGTTCGCTTATCCAAAATGTGTACTACATTTGTTCGGTGTGGTGAGTTCATAAAAACACAAGATTTGTCAAATGTGTAGATATGTGGTCGTTAATTACCATTTTATATGTCCTTTCGTGTTCGTCACTCTTTGTTTTTTCTG